AGGCGTTTGCCTATATTTCCTTTAATAAATTTGACTTGACTTGACTTGACTTTTGCATGTTTCAAAATGTTGCGTGATCTTTGGCGTCTACTGCATGCGCGTTCAAATAGTCCCGACTGCGAACGGGCCACTTAAACATACCACCCCTCGGCCAACGCAGCAAGGGCGATTTTACACACCCCTCCTCATCCTCCTCCTCAGACGATGCAACACCACCAGTCGTACGCCACTTGCCCCACATTTATGTAAAAATCTGCTGTCACCACTGTCCCATTCTCTCTGACAAGCCGTTGCCATCGCTGAAGGCAGATAGTATTACCGGCAAAGACAAGCCGGACTGGTATTTCTGCCTTATAGACCGTCGTCAGCCAGTCATACCCCGATGAGTTCCCTTAGCAGTCGGGTGAACGTTCATCAATGAGTGTCAATAACCCTTAACCTATCTCGGCAAGACAACAAGCTCGTGGCTGTCATGACCCGCGCCTGGTACTGCTAGTTAAGTCGAACACCAAACCAAAGTACCCGTTAGTGTGAGACAGAGAGAATACCAGTTGGCCAGAGAGAGGGAGTTTACTGAGACAAACACGTTACAGAAAGTCAGAGCAAGACATTCTCACACGAAGGCTGAATGTACTTAAGCGGAAACGCGAGGCACATAGCTGAGTCAGTGGGCCAATCAGCTATGAGGAAAAATCGATAGTCACGGCACGCTCTCGTGACGGCGGCGTGATCTGCACTCGTGGCCTTTCGGTGAGATGAGTAATCATGGGAATGGGCGCATTCCCAGTACTGGCTCAATGGTTAGGGCGTTTGATTCTGATCAAAGAAGTCACGAGATCGAGGTTCCGGTGGGGTGCCACTTCGGTCTGGCTGACGACGGCTAATAAGCCAGAAGTCGCGATTCCAGTCCCACTTCTCTTTGCCGGTAATACTAGCTGTCTAAATACAAGCTTAGGTACCTCCGAGGAAGCTATCCCGTAAGGGGAGTTCAAAGATCAGTCCTCATCCCCATTCGAATATCATTGCTGAAAGACGTTGCCCTTTTACGAACTCTATTTTGGGTTTAGGGTTGACACACGGTAGGAACTCACACCTTTTCTCTACCCCGAAAAAGCCCACTCTTGCCGCAGTCAACGTCTTTCCCTGTAGATAATCCAGTTAGAGTTTAACACCCCATTAACATCGTCGGACAGCAGCACATGTTTATCACCTATGGGTGTGGTACTTGGCCGCCGGTCCTCATTGTTATGCACGAGTTCACAGGCACCAGACTCGGCTATACTAATTTGCATAACATGCAGAACCAAGAACGTTGGCCAGTAGGGATCGATAAAGTTAATTTGCATTATCTGCCTTAGCGGTTATTAGCGGTTGTCAGTGCCAAAATGGGTGATTACCATGGCCGTTTCTTGATTATTAGTCTTACTCAGCCAGGCCGCTAACTAGGATGTAAAGAAGAGCTACGTAAACACTGCGGATATCCTACATACCTGGAAACTGACTATGGGCCATATTCCTGTCCCCTGGGAATGGCCTTTGTCGTTAAGGAATGGATCGATGATGTAATTTTATAATACTTCGCCGTTCGTTTAGTCCCTTTGGTCAGTCACAGCAAAATAGTAGTTATGAAGGGCTCCGTGTAGTATCTACAGCTTGTAAGGATTTACCGTTTGATCTACCATCATATCAACAGTACCAGTCATCGCAGTGTTTTGCAGTTCCTTTCCGGGGCTTATATTTGTGTCTACAAACCTAAAACGTGTCTGTCTTTCTTCATGGCTGATCTGTTCCTACTTTCAGCGCTTGTCTTTGTAGATAGAATTGCCGGCAAAGAGAAAGGAGACGAGATTGACAATCTCTGGCTTATTAGCCGTCGTCAGCCACTCATACCCAACTCCAACTCGTGTCCCAGCCGGGGTTCAAATCCGCGGCCTATTGATCAGGAGTCTAATGCTCTAAAGACTGAGCCACAGTATCGTTGTCTTGCCAGTTTAGGTCAGGGGTTATTGACACTAGCTGATGAACGTTCACGCACCGTTAACGAAACTCACTTCTCTCGCTCTGTCCTGTCTTGGGGGTCATTCTAGAGCATCACCAGCAGCTACAGAGCGACAGATAGCATTGTTGGCATAGAGCGCCTACAGACAGAACGCGACGAGGGATTTCCGTTAGCGGTGGGTAAATATTAGTCAACGACTACTAGTGTTTGTGTCTACATAACTGACTAGCCGGTGCATTTGGTGTTCCTCCTCCTACCAGCTTAATTTCTATGTGTCTGTCAGAATACAGGGCAGACTTATTCATACTTGAATCTATCACATAATACCATTCACCTATTCCAGAGAGTCTGTTAAGTCCACTTTTGCACTAGGAAGTTAAATACCAAGTCGGTATGTGTCTTTGGTAATTTTATTGTTAACCGAACAGATATCAGTTAGGACATCTCGGCGTATGTAGTTTCCTTCAGATGCTCAAAACCCCTCTCGGATTAGGCGGTCTTGAAGAGCAGATAGGCGGTATCGCCGATGTAGAAGTAGATGAAATGACCCTTCTCGTGGGTGACATAGCTGAAAGGAAAACGAGGGAGCAGTATGAGCATTGAAAGGAAAGACGTCCGCAAGTTACATAGCCAGATAGACTTTACAATTTCGTTGAGTCGTCAAATATATGTTTACAAATGACAAAAACTCTCTATATTTCCTCCATGTTACTTAAGAAGATATCAAGCTGGAAAGAGCCCTTCAAGCTTGTGTATCATACTTAGTCAAATATGCACTGAGTCCAAACAGTGGAGATCCAAGTTTCATTCCTTGTGTTCCCAGTAATGTTTGTTTTGCGAAAAAGGCGTCGAAAATTACTGCCTTGCAAAGAACACCATGCATAAACTTAACAGTTGCTTTTGTAACATTTTCAAGAGCTCATGGCGAGTTAGGATCTTAATAGATGGTTTTGGCATACAGTGGCCTTTGCGGTGAAGAAATAATCGTGACGCTAATGGACATCAGAGAGACAGGTCTAGGTGTGCTAAGTTCTCAGTGAGGTCTCAGACTTCCTGGCAGACTTTGTAGCCTAGAAAGCGGGACGTAATTGGATTCTTCAGGCAAAGCAGAAACAAACACAGATGGATTCAAGTATGACTTATTGCGAGCGTTTCTTTTGCATGAGCCAATCAATGAGAAGCCTTTGTTATAAAATCAGAAAATCTGATTGCCGTGATTATTATCCTGATATATACATGTATCAATGATGTCTCAGACATGCTGGCAGACTTACATAGCCTAGAAAGCTGGACCTAGATTCGATTGTTTAGGGAAAGCAGAAACAAACAAACAATGGGCTCAACGGTGACTACTTGCAAAGGGATTCGTTTGAATGATTCAATTAAACGAGACGCTTTTTTATGCACTTCGATTGCCACGGTTAATATCCTGATAGGTACATACATACATCATTTATTTCTGTCTACCAAACATTTAGGCAGAATGAAATTAACGACACAAATGAGGAAGACTGGAATGCATAAATATGAATACAACTGCGAGAGAATAGCAACTACGGGGGGGTGGCTTTTTACCTTCCAAAGTGCTTCCCAGTAATGCATTGCCAGTTCTTGCCATAGATCTCATCAAACTTCTTCTTAATCTGGCCGGCGATGTCCTTCTCCAGAGTATTCGTCTCGTCAGCCTGCTGAGTGATCACAAAGACATTTTCTTGCATCTCCCTGGGCATATCGACAGACTTGATGACCAGCGTCCTTTCGCCCATTGTGTTGTTGGTAGTGTCGAAGGCTCTACACAATTGTTTCTGTGAATATCACTCGCACGCCGGAGGTATTTATAGACTCTCAAAAGCTGTCCTTTTTACTACTTCAGCTGAGCAGTGTTTAGCAGTGTGCTTTAGAGTACATCAGCATCGTCGAAGTACAAGCCGGAGGATGACCGGAGAGGAGCTGATTGAGTGAGAAGTGCATTAGGGGCGTGCTCAAAGCAACGTCTCAAAAGTACCTTAGATAACCAGATAAGTACTTATCAGAAGGCCAAAACCCATCACTGGTTTTAAAAGTATACGGTGTTGTCAGGGGCACCAACACCCCCAAACGGAATTGCTCCCCGGTTTATAGCATTGCCGGTAATGCCAGAGGAGACTGAAATGACCATTTCTGGCACATTAGCCGTCATCAGCTAGTCATACCCAACCCCCAGTGATGACTCCAACACGCGACCTTTTAGATCAGATTATTACGCTCTTAACGATCAGCCAGGAGCTCGTTGTCTTGCCGGTTAAGATCAGAATGAATATTCACGGACCGCTAACGAAACTCACTCGTTCAGTTCTGCCTGCGGCTTCATTCTCGAGCACCTCCAGCAACCGTACAGCGGCTAGTTTTCTAGGTAGATAGCACTGCTCACGCTTAATTTAACAGGTATTTAGTGTAGATAAGTCCATATTCGAAGGAGTAGAGAAGGTAACTGAAACAAGGGCTTTACTGAGCTGACGTTTCGGACGCCGATTCGTGTACATCATCAGAAGCTTAATCAAATAAAGGTGACAGTTTGGACATCGCCTTAAATTATGCCCATCGTGAGCTCTAAACAGGTTGGTTCAAGGCCGGTTAATTTCGTGTGAGCGGGAGAAAGCTATCCAAAATGTTCAGCAAAATGGTTCCATTCATGTAGAGCTGGGGTAAGGTAAAGTAAGAGTTCATGGTAAAAGATCAAAGGCAAAAGGTCGCAAAATGTTCAAACTTAAAGGTTTGCACGGTATCCACATCTGTTATGGTGACAGGTCGGCTTTAGCTTCTCAATTTCTGTTTCTTCACACGTGAGGTAGCGTGCTAAGAATGGGAGTACAGAGTGCTGATATGCCCATGTACGGCAAGACATACGACAGAAGTTTCGGCGCATATTACGGGATGAATTCGCAGCTATTACTTCAGAGTGGCGAGGGTTAGCGACCTCACTAAGGATACGATCAGCAAATTGCTTGACCGTTTTAAAGTGTCAACGTATAATAATATCAGCTAAAAAGGCATAGGAAACACTAGCAGCTGAAAAGAGCCTTCGGAGGACACGTTTAAAAAATGACCCGGTCTTTCTTGTGTAAAAAAGTGGAAGGATAAATGGAGAGCAGAAAAGAATGAGGGGAGAATACAAGCATCTATAAATCGCCAGATTAAGGCTTGTAGTATGCGATGTGAGCGCAAGCGGCGGATATAATATAAAGGTTTACGGATTTTAATAAAAAGGCCTTCAATATAGAGAGCAAAGGAGAGGTTAGATGCCAGAGTAACACCAAGGTACCGGAAAGAGGATACTTCGTGTGTGTTCAATTTAAGTGCCGGTAGACTCGCGCAGCATCCTCCTCACCCTCTCTCCCTCTCACTTTTCTCTCACCCACCTGAAACCGGCGTCAAGACAGAGTCAATATGACCGGTGGAATCGAACGAAAGGCCGCTCCATCACCACCACGATACGCGTAGGTTGGTTTTAAGTGATATTTCACTTACGCAGCATCTTCCGCAGTCTCTCTCTTTTCCCTCACCCGCCTGAAGCCAGTGTCAGGACGGATTCAAGAAGACCACGACTCGTATACAGACCGAGGCAAATAGGACTATTGGACTGCACACGTATTGTAGCATTTATAGGTTATAACTGATATGTCACTGCATGCCTATCACAAGTGACACCTGCCGAATGCATCAAACTGTATACCTGATGAGAGATTCGAGTGGAAATCTGAAACGTTAGGATGATCTAGCTCTTGTTCCAGCGAGAACGTGTCCTTCATCGCGAATGTATCTAACAGTGTATCTATAAACTGTATGTTTAAGTCACAAGGGGCCCTTTCAATACAAGCTTCATGATGTGGTGTGCATAAATACAAAGTCAGTAATCACAGCAGCGCGTAAGCAACTGTAAAACAACAGGAATGAGTAGTATGTTATGCATATTAAGTCAAACCCGAGTTACAACGGACGGTTATTTAAAATACTAGTCAAAAATATTAGGTAAATATGATGAACTGAGAAAGAGACAACGAAAAAACGGACTAGAATTGAAATCAGTGGCAGCGTTCAGTGAGCCACGAATTTCCAGGAAAAGTATTGGCGTAAAAACTGTTTAAATAGGCAGTTTGACTGATATGATAACATATGATGTAATGAGATGGGAGGGGATGGGATGGTAATGATTGGGGTTCAGAACGCTCCGCGTCGTGGAATGAAAATCATATAGCCGATGGGACCAGAAGAACTCATCAGGGACAACGGGATCGAAACGAGGGGGACCGTAAAAGACACGGCAGCATCACCGAGATGCGACAAAGCAGACTTCAGAGTCCGCCGACAAGTTGGCCAAAAGGTAAGAACCCGCGACGGTCATCACCAGAGACCTTGAAGCCCAGCGTCAGGGTTGCTAAACGGAGAAGACATGGCACCATTTAAAAATGATGCTTGACTCTGCAAAGGAAAATTCAAACATATTTAGGGACCACTTTAATATCCTGGGAAGGGACTCAAATGTCAGGAGGGCCTTTTTCGAAGACAAGACGTTTCGTGATTCGGAAGGAAACAGATAGTAACGACTTTATTTCTTCCAAAGTTAAATGCTGATGTATTTTTTGTTCGGAACTGCAGACGACAGCCTAATTTCGAGTGTAATATTATTCCCGATGAAAGCATATTTGGAGGCAAAAAACGAAAACGGTTTGACCTGGAGCTGAGGGTTGGTTAAATTAGCATCGAGGAGTCAGGAATTGCGTAAGGTCGATCTACCGGAGTAGGAGTGTTAATTTGTGGGAGATTAGGGCCATGTGATGATGGATTCGA